ATCTGTGTAGATATTTGCCAAGGAAAGAATTTAGTAGGAAAAAATTTCAACCATACAGGAACCATCAATATGAATTCCATCGACCTCCCTAATCACCCATTTATATAGTCTAAAAGGTTGAGTTAGTGTAGATGTTTCATTTTCCGCCAAAAAAAAATATTTACTAACCTGTAAAGGAGTGTTCCTTTTGGTATTTTAATTGAAATGATTCCCAAATGGACAATCGAAAGAGCACAGGTTTAACATAAAACATAAAAATAAAAAATAAAAATAGAAAGAGCAACCCAAAAAGCCTAATAAAAATGGTCAAAAGCTTCATCTTCTTCTCTCTATGTTATTTGACCAACCATTAACTATGCATCATAATTCTTTGGCAAATTGGAATTACTCTCCAATGCATGGTCATCCAAAGCGGTCTTGGTTCTAGTGTGGAGTTTGATATCTATATGTTTTGAATTTGGATTTGGGTTTGGGTTGTTGTCTTTGGTGTGAATTTGTCTTTGGTGTGGAGTTTGGTATCTATTTGTTCTGTTTTTCTTTCCCTTTTCCCATTGTGGGTAGAAGTGTAGTGCCTCAAACTTAAAAAAAAACCCAGCTGCAAATGATGAATTATGAGCCTACTAAATATAAACTTGAAACAAATAAGCTAGAAACCAAGAATAAGTCAATACACATTTAGGAGCCATTGTGAAATAAGCCACAAGTTTGGAATCATAAATAAGGCAACCAACCCAAAAACAGAGTGACTAAATTGGATTCCCCCCATTCATTTCCTTCTCTCTATTTTATATGACCAATCAATAGCTATGTATCATAATTCTTTGGCAAATTGGGGTTATTCTAAAATGAATTGTCATCTAAAGTTGTTTTAGTGTGTAGTCTTATATCTATATGTCTTGAATTTGGATTTGGATTTGGGTTGTTTTCCTTGGTGTGAATTTTTTATTTTTTATTTTTGGGACAGAAATGTAGTGCCTCAAACTTAAAATAAATCCAACTCCAAATCATGAATCATGACCCTACTAACTCAAAAGCAAAAAAGAGAAGAATCCCACGTAACTGATTCCAGGTTATGTGTGAAAGCAATAAAAAGAAGCCAAAATTCCAATCCACTCCATTAAACATGTGACAGCCCCAACATTTACTTTAAAAACAAAGAGAAGAGAAACTAAACATCATTGAAACAATTGAATGGTGAATGAATGTCAAAAAAAAAAAAAAAAACAAGAGAGACGTTTTGATCATCACCCCAATTTGATTGTTGGATGGAAATGGTTCATGATAACTATAACACCTACCATGATGATAAAGTGAAATGCTTATGGACCACAAGCCTAACATGTTCTCATTCGGAAAAAAATTTAAAAAAATTTCGAGTTTACATGTTCTCAAGTCTAAGTGCAAGATTACTTTTGTTGTACTTGTTTCTTTTGAAAGTCCTGGAGCCAATTCGTCGATTTGCTTAAGGGAAACTAAAATTTTGGTATCATTATATTCACATTTAAATCATTGGCAACCCATGTTTTATTGTTGTTCTCTCTCTCTCTCTCTCTCTCTCTCTCTTGCTTGCTCTATCTATATATTTGTTTATGTGAGCAAGTAACTCCTTCGTATGCTCCATAATAAACATTTCATCTATCATGTATATTTTTTTCTTTCGAGAACTATTGGTGGCAATTTTTTGACATCTAAATCATGAACATGTTACATTAATTAATGTACATTATACTTCAAGTTTTCTTTACTAATCTTTGAACTTGTGTAATTGCACTACCTGAAGTTTATATTTAGTAGGCTCATGATTCATGATTTGAAGTTGGATTTCTTTTAGGTTTGAGGCACTACACTTTTGCCCAAAAACTAAAAAAAAAATCAAAAATTCACACCAAGGAAAACAACCCAAATCCAAATCCAAATTCAAGACATATAGATATAAGACTACACACCAAAACAACTGTAGATGAAAAATTCATTTCAGAATAACTCCAATTAACCAAAGAATTATTGATTGGTCATATAAAATAGAGAGAAGGAAATGAATGGAGGAATCCAATTTGATTGCTTTGTTTTTGGACTGGTTGCCTTTTTTAGAATTCCAAACTTGTGCACTTTGAATTGTCTTTGTGGGAATCATTTCAATTTAAATACCAGAAGGAAAAAAGCTTTGACTTTGGGTTTTTTTTTTTTTTGGAAGGAGGGGCTGAAAATAATGCATATACACTTAACTCAGCCTCTTAGAATATTTGAATAGGTGATTAGCAGGGTAGATCGAATTAATATTGTCATTCCTGAATGATATAAACTTGAAGATTAATGTGCACTTTATTTTTCTTTTCATGGGCTTTAAATGTGTATTGAATTAAGCATGACAATGGCACCTAAATGTGATTTGAATTATTCCTAGTTTCTGGCTTATTTGTTTCAAGTTTATATTTGGTAGGCTCATGGTTCATCATTTGCAGCTGGGTTTCTTTTAACTTTGAGGCCCTACACTTCTACCCACAATAGGAAAAGGGGAAAAAAAAAACAAAACAAATCGATACCAAACTCCACACCAGAAACAATAATCCAAACCCAAATCCAAATTCAAAATATATAGATATCAAACTCCACCCTAGAACCAGAACTGCTTTGGATAAGCACTCATTTGGGAGTAATTTCAATTTGCCAAATAATTATGATACATGGTTATTGGTTGGTCAAATAAAATAGAGAGAATGTGATGAAGCTTTTAACCATTTTTATTAGGCTTTTTGGGTTGCTCTTTCTTTTATTTTTTTATTTTTTATGTTAAACATGTGCTCTTTGGATTCTCAATTTGGGAATCATTTCAATTAAAATACCAAAAACGAGCACTCCTTTACAAGTTATTATTATTAATATTATTTTTTTTTTTTTTTGGGAAAATGAAACATATACACTTAAAGAAGACTCATAAGATATTATACTGAACTAGTCTGTTTGCATCTTGGCAAATAATATTATTTCATATTGATTGAATATAAGTTTATGATATGAAAAATTGATGGTGTACAATTGATTTTCATTGTTTCATTTCAAAGGTTCCAAACTCAAAGAATCAACGAAAATGCAAAAGTTTGAAGAACAAGAAGGTTAAAGAAGGACAGAACCAAAACAACTACTCTAACCCAGTTCCAAATTCATCGACAACAACCTGTATCTATATTTCTTTTTCGATAGAAATATGCTTATGAAATTTTTCTTTTTCTTCATACAAATGTGAAAATATATTTACATCTGATATAACACATAGTTATGTTCATATTTCTATCAATTTCAAAAGAAATTCGCATAGAGAAAAACAAAATATAAACAAATTAAATATAAGATCTAATTACATTTCACTTCTCAAATTCATAAACCAAACACAATTTGAAAAATATTTGTATTCAAACTGTAGAACGACCCCCACACACAACGCGCGTGGGGGGCCAACTAGTAATTATATAAGCTATACCAACAGTTGACTCATATGATATTATATCTCATAAAAATTAACAAAATAATGTTTTATGAATATTAGTTGAATTAAATATATGTATATATTTTTATGCATACATAATCTATAAGTGAAGTATATATGTCGATAACAATTTTGGGTTCTTTAAAAATGGCCCATCCCCATCTGGCCCAATTTTGATGGAGAACAAATGGAAATTGGGTTTGAATAAAGCAAAGCGAAAGACAAATTCATTTCTCATGTTGGTAATGAATTGGGATAAAGAACAAAGGGCAAAATATATTAAATCCCCTTAAATTATCCGGCATCTATACTTTACTCACTTAATGTTTAAATCTAACAATTACCTCCTTCAAACTATTTAAATTTAAGCATTAAGTCCTTCTGTTAGTCATTTGTTAGATATTTAATGAAAAATTGTCAAGTGTTGTGCACATGATGATTATATTAAATTTTATAGTATTTAACAAATGATTAATAAAAGGACTTAATGTTCAAATTTAAATAGTTTGATGGAGATAATTGTTGGGTTTAAAACATTAGGTAGTAAAGTGTAAATGGCCGATAATTTAAAAGGATTTAATATAATTTTCCAAAAAATTAATAAATGAATACCCTTTTTTCTTCTCATTTTCTCATGGAAAGTATTATTAGATTTAGCGGGATGAATGATTGAATATGCAATAAGATTACACGGGATAAGTTCAGTTAGGTGAGATAAAAAAAACTAGATAGAGTGAGGCATTATGTTTGATTAAAATTGATGTTTTTTTTTTTTAAGATAAACTACTAATAGGTCTTAATTCTCATCAAATCCTATTGAAAGTAAGTCTTATTACAGTCGTCGATAAAATTAATTTTTTGTGACAATTGTTTACATATATCGCTAAAAATTAATAATTAGTGATTTTTTTGTCATGATTTTAATAAATTGTCGTTAAAACTTACAATTAGTGAAATTTTTCTATGACGTATTTTTCAAACTATCGCTAAAAGTTAAAAATTAATGACTTTTTTTGTGATATTTTTTTAAATTGTCACTAAAATTTATAATTACTGATATTTTTTGTGACAATATTTTCAAACTATCGCCGAAAATTAACAATTAGTAACGTTTTTTTAATAGTGTATGATGAAAATGTCATTAATTATCATAAGACCTATTGGACAATAAGTCTACTTAATAGGACCTACCTACACGTAAGTCTCTCTTTTTTTTGATTTTTAGATGAAGAAGGAAAATAATCCGGACAAACATAATATCACAATTTTTACACAAATTGAATTGGTGAAGTGTGGGTCTAAGTATGGAATAAATATGACTCATAAATTGATATTTTTGAATAAAATTGGAGATAAATTTATGAATTTATTGTATTACTATAATATTTATAGCATTTCTTAGTCCTCAATTTTATTTTTTTTCAGTATTAAAGTTGTCCAAGTTTTAATATCATGTAAACAAACATCAAATTAAAAAACATGTAAGACCAAATTGTTTCTCATATGACTCACAACATGTGTAAGTAATTAAACTTCATTTAAATTTAAATTTTCAGAACTGTACTTCTAGCACTGGTCAAAACTTTCAAAACACCCTTTTCTTCATTTTTATAATAAAAAATGTCAGCAAATGACACAAAATATAAGAATAATCTCCACAATCTTTAAAATTCCTGTGGAGAACATATCCCCCAAAGAAATAACTCAACAAATTAACAACATTATCCCAAGCACTCCATGAGCTTTCCTCTGTATTCTCATCTCTTCATAATTTCTTCTAGCATTCCATGAGCCGCAACACTGATTCCTGCCTCTGCATTCTCATCTCTTCATAAAACCTCTCAATGAACCTCTCAGCCCTCTCATCAACCGAATCTTCTTCACAACCCGACTCGGATAATTCCGACAATTCTCTACTAGCTACTGCATCTTCAATGTTTGGCAAAACCTCCAATTCAAATTCCCCATGTCCTCCTCCTCCATTTTTCAACCTACCCAAACACTTGAAAAGAAAGAAATTGGAATATATGTCTCTGTGTTTGCTCTTCTTGAATGGCTTTCTGTGGTAATGAATGAGAGAAGTGCTTGAAGGAGAGAATTGGTATTCTTGCATATACCCATAGTTGTAATGCTGTAGAAGATTGAACTTCTTGAGCTTTCTTGATTTCTTGAGAAAAATGAGCTTTGGAATGATGGGTTTTTTCATTTTGGCTATGAAGATGGAGATTTTGGAGAGATTTGAGAGCTTTTGGAAAATGGGGGATGATCTTTTTCTGGGCATTTTTTTTAGGGAAAATTGAGGTGAGAAAGGTTTCTTGTTATGAGGTTTTAGAGTAAGGATTCTTGGGTTGGGTGAGAGGGGGTTTTAACGGTGTAAAAAAGTTGAATGAAAGTACATGAAAATAGGGAGATCTCAATAGTTGTGGTGGTGGGGTTGCCTAGCTGTGAAAAGGGAGGGTGGTCGGTGGCATTTTGGCCTTATTTTATGGAAATTGCACAGGTAGCCGTTGGAGCCCCCCTAGTGGGCTCTCTTTCTATTGGCTCCACTTTGAACTCAAATTTTGTAAGGCCACACAACACAACATAATTTATGTATAAAAATTCTATAAAGGATTATGTCTTGTTATTAATTCATTGGTTCAAAATTATAAAAATGTAATTATCAAATCCTTCTGTTTATAAATTTAGTATAAAAATTATGTATCATTTTCTATATTTGAAAGGCACGATTCAAATTTTTTTGTTAACCATTAAGATGATCCTAATTGTAACAATGGTCTTATTTTAAACCTTGCAATCTATCATGAATTTTTTTCTTCTATAATTGTGGATTTTTTTTTTTTTAATTGGTAGTTAGGGAGGGATTGAGATATCTGGTGTGCCTAATAGGGAGAGTTGTGTGCTCTTTGGGGCCTTTTTTCGGTATTATTTCATAATTGAAACCGTTCAATATTTAAGACTCATCAAATAAATTATCTATGTAAAAAAAAAAAAAGATTAATCGGATATCAGTAATCATATAATATAATTTCATTTGTTACATAAAAAAAAGCAACTCGCTATTCTTACTCCACTTTGCTCTAAATACATTTCCTTCTTTATCCTTATTATTTATTGTTATATTAATATCCTCAGAATTTTGATTTTTTCACTCCACTTTGCTCTAAATACATTCCCTTCTTTGTCCTTATTATTTATAGTTATATTAATATCCTTATGTAACAGCGCCCGCGGGCCTCATGCTATAGTTCGGACTCGATTAGTGTCACGGTTCTTAATCTGAACCAAAGAGTCCAAATCTGGCAAATCCTTATTATTTATTGTTATATTAATATCCTTAGAATTTTGATTTTTTCCATGAGTGTATTTTGTGTGAAATAGTATGGGTGCCTCTATTTACACACCATCTTTCATCTCAAGACACACCATTAATTAGTTTATTTTTTATTACAATATTAGCCCAATGTAAAATCACTACAAAGGATAAAGGGTTATGATACACATCTTATGTAAAATTACCATAAAGAACAATAATAAATGCAATACGCACCACTCTTCTGAAACGTTATTTACGTATCTTCTCTCTCAAAAATCGAAAAACCCAAAAACAAAAACCAAAAACGCTTAAAGAAATAATAAAAAAATATACGTGTTATTGAAGATTTTGGTTGGACTGAATGATGGATACATCTGGCAATATTGGTTTGGAACAATAGAGCAAGAAAAATGTTAGTTTTTCATTTTTTTTTTTCCGTTTTCGTGTACTTGCTAAGTAGTAAACCATTTGTATTCGTTTGAACACCCAGATTCGAACAACGTACTCATGTTCGACTATCTACAACCGAGCAAGTTCTAATTGTTCGATTTTCTAGTGTCGAACGTAGTCCACATGTTCGGTTAACAAGTTTCAAACATATAGCATTTGTTCGGTTTTCAACAGTCGAACTTTTGAACTTAGCTCGATTCTGTATTTCTAACACTTATAACAAAAAAAATAATTGGTTTTTCTAGAACTGTTCATCCATGGAGGGGGTCATGAACCAGAGGAGAATGGAGTGAAGTCGTTTTCAACACGAATGAAGATCAGTTTAGACTGGTTCCTAAACTTCTGGGATGACAATGAAACAGAGAATGGAGGGGGACGTTGAGTGTGTTTTTGAAGTGGAGGTATAGAATATGGAAGATTAAAGATTATGGGTGGAGTGTGTGAGTGAGTAAGGGTAAAGATGGAAGATTGTGAATGGGGTGTGTAAATAAGGGTAAAGATGGAAGATTGTGAATGGGGTGTGTAAATAAGGGTAAAGATGAAAGATTATGGTGTATATTTAGCAAATTTCTTATTTATCAAATTGCTAAAGATGTACCTTAAGTAGTGATGTGTCTTGAGATAAAAGGTGATGTGTAAATAGAGACACCCAAAAAGTATTAATATAACTATGCATAATAAGTAGGGGTGTAAATTTGGCCCGGCCCATGTCAGGCCTCATGGGCTCTGGCCAAAATTTGGACCGAGCCAACCCACGGGCTAGAAAAATTAGGCCCAGGCCTAAAGAGTATTTGGGCCTTGGGCAGGGCTCGGGTTTGGACGGACCTGAACAATTTATTTTGTTTTTTATTTTTTTAACCAAAATTTTATTATTTTTCACTAAAAAAAACACTGGGCACTGGGCAGGCTGAACCTTAAGCGGGCCACGGGACGAGCCAGGTAGGACCAGTCCACGGGCCGGTCCAAGCTTCAAAATGATGGCCCAGGCCCAAGCACAGGGTCTAAGGCTGGGCTCGAGCTCGAGCCCATACGGGCCCACCCCGGGCCGCGAGTGGACTTCGGGCTATCCACGGGCCACCCATGGGTCACAGACCATTTTTACACTCCTAATAATAAGAACAAAGAAGAAAGTGTATTTAAAACCAAATGAAGTAGGAATAACGGCTCTAAAAAAACAATAAATGGAATTTTGAGAATAAATTGTTTAACAAACCATGATCCAATATTATGGTTATTGATAATCGATAATATAATTTTTTTGACATGAATAATTATTAAAAAAACTTTACGTATTAAATAGTTTGGATCATTAAAATAGTTGAGAAACAGACTCCAACACACTAAGTAAAACTCAAACTCAAACATTACGTTGGAGAAGAGACTATTAGGTCAAACTATTGTGATAGTAGTTGAATATATTCCATTTTAACCCGTCTTTAGCCTATAATTACTTGTTTAATCATTTTTATATTGACCAAAGTTACAAAAACCCTTGATCGTTATTTTCATGAAGTTGGATACACTCCATTTTAACCCAGCATTTGCGTATAATTACTTGTTTAATCATCTTTATATTGACCAAAGTTACAAAAGTAGTTCTAAAAGTTTAATCCCCTTTCTGAATGATGAAATAGATAAACTAACACCCCCTTTTTATTTTTTTTATTTGTAACCGACATCCCCGTACACACCAAACTCCTCCAATCCATCATCATTTTTGCATACAAGATTTTTATAGGGAAAAAACTATATTAGTTAGGTTATTCAAGCCAGTATTTAGGTGGGATTATTTTTTCCTTTTGTGATATAAATTGTGGATTCACACTCATTGCAAAAAAATTATAATTATATATGTCACCAAGTTATGTTTGACGATAGCTTAAATATCAGTGAAAAAAGAAATTATCCTTCGGGCAATGACTGGATTTGTTGACGACAAAAAAATATAAATAAAATAAAATAAACTCAGTTTCAACCCTAATAAAATTAGCATTTGGAATGCATCACTTTTTTATTAACTAGTATTAGTTTTACCAAAAAAGTAAAAATGTAATGAAAAAAGTATTTGACAAACCCCACTTGGCTGGGAGAAACTCTTCCATTCAAAATTTTGATGGTAGAAGTTAGAAACATTAATTCTGTTGTAATAAGTTTTCGGAATATATGATTATTTTTAAGAGATTTAAAAATTAATTTGGTGAAAAAAAAAATGTAAAATAAAAAACAATACACTTTGCTTGTTTTTGATTTTCCAAAAATACTTTTTAGAAAATTCTATTTTCTTATTTTCTGTATTTTTTTATTTTTACTGAATTTTTTAATATTTCAAGCAATTTTTTTAATTTTTAGACACACCTAACATAAATACACATAAAAAGTATAATTTTTGTGAAAAAAATATGTTAAAAATTCACTAAATATCAAAAATAAAAAAAATACGAGAATTCAATATATTTTTATATTTTTATGTATATATTAATTTTTTAAAATATTTTTTCACAAATTTTTTACTTTTTAGATAAATCTAAATAAGGCACATTTAAAAAGGTAAAAAAAATACTTAAAATTTTAAAAATATTCACTAAAAACAAAAAAAAAATGAAAAATAAAAAGCTCAATTTTAAAAAAATTTAATTTATAAAACTCAAACCAAATACACACATTATTCCTTTCACATGTTTTTCTCTCGAGAATGAAAATAGTTCTTCTTAAAAATTGTATAATATATTTTTGTGTTTATTTTTATCATTAATTTTTATTTTTATTTTTATTTTTTTCAAAGACCAAGTTCGAGAAACTCATCCAAACAGAAAGGTTGGGTTTGGAAACAATTATCTCGGAGCCGTTACCAAGGTTAATTCCTTGCCGTTACCAAGATATGCTATCCACTGCCTGTAGTTTTATGCCGCATTGAGAGAGTTTCGGCAGATCTGAGTTTGCTTTATATTCAAACATTCCTTAATAAAAAATGATATAAGTCTTAAATTTTTATTAAATAAATGATCATATATCTCACATAACAAAATTAAAAATCCAATTTATATAAAATATTTAATTATTTATTTAATAAAAAATTTAATATTCCTAATATTACTCCCCTCAATTCGGCGTCGCTTTCAATTTGTTTGTGTCATTAATAAGATGCCTTTAATTAATAGCTTCGTGAAGGAATCGCTTTTGCAAGTGATATTTGAATAAAAAAACTGATGAATAATTAATCTAATACACAGCATCTTAATTTAATAAATTTAGGATAAATTATTAATACATCCTAATAGTTAGACTTAATTTCTATTAAATCTTAATAAAATCGTTGCTAAAAATAATTCTTTTGTGATGATTTTTTACATGTCTTTAAACATTAACAGTTAGTAATTTTTTTGTTACGATTTTTATAAATTATTACTAAAACTTACAATTAGTGACATTTTTTTGTGACGAATTTTTCAAACTATCGCTGAAAATTATAAATTAGTGATTTTTTTGTAACGAATTTCTTAAACTGTCGCTAAAATTTATAATTGATAGCATTTTTTATGAAAAAAATTTTAAATTGTCGCTGAAAATTAACAATTAGTAATGGTTTTCAATAGTGTTTAATGAAAAATGTCATTAATTATCATAAGATCTATTGGACAATA